TAACATTTATCGTTGCGAAAGACGAACCAAATTTCTATATGTAGATTCTATTTTTCTGATCGTGTTAAAATATAACTTTTCATCAGTAGTCTATTAATAACAGTGAAACAATATTTTGTATAGTGGCGAAAGCATATTTAGTAGAAACATTAGAAATAATAAAACGTCAATATAGAAATATCGTGAGACGCGTATCGCGAATGTACGTTTTTTCGCTGCACCTGGCGAAAATGATTAAATTACTTCTTTTCATCATGATGAAGAGTTGTTCTAAAAATATCTTTCCTCTTTAGAATTTCGAAACATTATTCAAAGAAGCGATGCCAACGCAATTTCAATATGTAAGATACTATTGTTTCCTATAATTGTTGCAGATTAAATAATTTATGCAATTATACTAATTGACTTGTTTTCGATTTCTTCGATCATGCCATACGAACGTCTGTTGTTAATATTCGATTACTCAATATTAATTTAAATGAATTTAAAAATAAGTTACAATAATTAATTTTAAATAAGAAAATTAATAATTACTCATTTCTAGGATGTAAATTTGAAATGCAAATAGAATATTAATAAAAAGAAAAAACCATTGCACTAATTTTTATAAAATTGAAGAAGATACAATGTATAGTTACTTTATGCTTCGTTCAACATTTTATCAAATAATTATGGAATAATTGAAATAATAAATATTAATTTCGCAAATTAATGGAACCAATGATATAAACAAATTTTCACAGTTTATTTTAGAAATAATAGATTAATGATTTTAATTATAAGTAACTCATCATTGTACTACGTATGATTGCTTTCCTATAATGAAACGATCATTACACACGTAGCCTTAGATTATAGCACGTAATTATCAACAAAATCGACGAATGCGGTATCGTATTAAATTCATCAAATTTTCCATAATTATGTTTTGCATAATTTCTAGTACCTATCAAGAGATACACTGATTACTAGCTGAAAGGAAGATAAACGATTATTACTATATTTTCAGTGCATGCAGATGTTACCATAATCTCACTTTACTACATTCATTAATAGAATATTTTGTAGTGTTTCATATTATAAGAATATTGTACTTTTCTCTTGCTAAAGAGTAATGTAGAATATTTTCTAACACATGGATTACAATATAGATATAGAATATCTCCTAAAATGTTTGTACAGATCAAATATTTTTACATAATACAAAATAAAATAAATTTCAGTAATATAACATAAATTGCTACAGTAGTAAATCAACGATACTTCGTACTCAAGAGTTGACAATATGATAAATATAGCAGACGTCTTGATACAGCAAAATAATAGCTAATTGCTCATTTGTTTACTAGCTAATTGCTAATAACTAGTTGTTCATTTGTTTGTCACTATTCACGAGATAGACAATGCAAACGCAATTGTTCCAATACGCATAAACTTGCAATTTTATTTTCCAACATAATGTCTTTCATATAATAGAAACGTGTTATTATTCTATAATTATCCTACATTGTACTTCATTTAATAAAAACGTTATTCAGTCATTTCGTTTATAAACGAGCTCTTTACCTCACATGAGCGCATTGAAACGAGATCAAGTTCAATATGAAGATACTCGGTTTGGCTGCTTTCTTACTTCTTTATATCGCTGCCGGTATAATATTATATAATTATTATATAATTATTATATATCGGTATATATTATATAATTATTCATAATTTCATTACCCGAGGAAAAAAACTCAGTCCATGTTTCTCTTCGTATCCGTAAATCTTCAGAGTTTAATAGAATTATTCATAAATTCTCGTTGTTCCACGAAGGAATTATTCATTTTCTTAATCCTTCGAGATTTCATTTTTTTCTTCCTTCATTTATGAAACCTTGAATTTGTAATATTTGTGAACAATATTAACCGTAATATTGATTTTAATTTTTTTTGCATTATTTGCACAAAATGTCTAAAATAAAATATTTATTCGTTATATTTATTAAATGAAACTAATCTAATTGGACATGTTCTCAATTTCTATAGATGCATAATAATACTTGTGGTCTATTTATTAAGTTAGTAATGCAGTCGTTGGTTTCGTATATGAAAAATTATTTCTTAGCAATAATAAATTTCCTTATATTGTGCTGAAACAATTCTTTACTTTTTCTATTAACTTTTTTTTTGTCCCAATTCTTTAAAATTCCAATAATAAAAGAAACTTTTCTAATTTCAATTGTATCACATTTATTTTATGCGATGACTATGTTTAAGATTTCATGTATGTTATTTACAGGTCGTGGCAACTTTTTAGACGGTATTGTAAATTTTGGCGAACATGTATTTGAAGGGGTCGATTACACCCTTGAAAAGTTGAGTGACTTATATGTAATCGGTCCTGATGGTAAACCTGTTAGAGTAGGCATAACCGACTTCTTCCCTGAAACGGTGGAAGAAACTCAGAAGGATCTCCCTAACCGTGTCTTTTTCTATCTATATACAAGGAACAATCCGTCAGACGGTCAAAAATTGAATGTGAACGACAAAGTTACTTTGCAAAATAGCAACTTCAACATATCGAAATATAGCGCAATTTTAGTTCATGGATGGATGTCTAATTACAAGGATTTTATAGCAGCTAAAAATGGTATGCATTTATTTATTGACAAAATTCAAATTTCTTTAATCTCATATAAAGAAATTGAAACATGAGAGAATCACTTGCCGTTGATAAATTACTTTATTATGAGAAATTAATTTTAACACTTAATACACTGTCAACTGGTTGCATATTACCGAAAACTATTCTCCCTTAAATATTTCTAGAAATATTTTCAAAATATCAGTTATTCTGGTTGGTTTCATATAAAATTCCTTAGATTTATTTCACTTTGAAGATATAATACATTTTTACACGTGGCAAGTCAGTCTTTCAAGTTATTAAAATTCACGGTATTTGATTCTATTTTGTATTTTACATTCAATAAAATCAAGTTCAATTAAAAATTTCCAAATTATTTTCAATTGCTTCCAATTAATTTGTAGTAGTATTCTTTTTACCACGAAGTGATATAGAAACCATCACCATCAATGATACATGGTAATAATTTTGCAAATTTGTAATGCTTTTCTTGTTTTATAGCTTTCCTTCAAAGCTGTGACTGCAATGTCATATTACTTGACTGGGGGGCAATAGCGCAGAATATAAATTACGTATGGTCCAGCGATCGTGTTGTGATAATCTCCCAGTATGTCGCCCAGATGATTGACTTTCTACATGCGGAAGGAATGGATGCATCTAGGTTGACCATAGTTGGCCTTTCTCTTGGCGCACACGTAGCTGGATTGTCGTCCTACTTTGCAAAGAACAAAGCGAATTTTGTAGTCGGTAAGTATATGATGACCTGTGCAATGTCACCATCTGTTCCATCATTGTCAATGCGATACTCATAACAATTACATATTGCCTTTTCGCTCCTGTCTTAATTTCTTTCATTTTCATAATTTTCTGTTATTATTATTATTTTTTTTTATGTGTGTGTAGAATATGGAAATTTTTTAATTGCCGTTAACAAAAATTACACTTCTAATTATCGATTTTGAACAATAGGAATTTATATTATAAAAAGATACGAATCCTTCAAAGTTGGTAATTACGAAAGAATAAATGTTTTTCTATATATTTATCAAGAAGATCTTAAAGCAGAAAGTTAAATATCAAATTTTATCCTTCTCCAAACGTTATGAATTGCAAAAAAAAAAGAAAAAACATATTAAATACTTCAAGAGAAAATTTCTTAATCTCTTTGAAAATTGTTATCCTGATTGTGATTATTCTGATTGTAGGTTTGGATCCAGCTCAACCCAACTTCCTTACTGCTGGTGTAGGAACCAGAATATCTTTAGGAGACGGAGAATACGTACAAATTCTCCATACCAATGCTGGTGGGGCTGGATTTAACATTTCCTTGGGTGACATTGATTTTTGGGCAAATAATGGTCAGACTCAAAATGGCTGCAATCTCATTGACGACACGTGTTCACATGTTAGGTCTCTCAGTTATTACATAGAATCTCTTAGTAGTAAAGTAGGATTTATAGGGAGAGAATGCGACAATTACAACGATTTTACGCAAGGAGAATGCGCAAATAATCCTACAGCTGTTATGGGTGGCGTTACTCCGCAGACTAATCTGAAGGGTAACTTCTATTTCACCACAAATTCGAACTCACCGTATGCTAGAGGTGCCGAATAAATCGAAATATGTTTCTGTTTAAAAATCAATAGTCGGTCATTCAAAACGAGATTTGAACCTTTATGTTTTTATGCTGTGCACACCTTCCGTCTGTTGTAAAAGTTTTTAGATATTCCAAAATGCGTACAAAATTTTTGGAAAACATAGAATTTTCATTGTAATTGTAAAAATGGAGGATTTTTTTGACAAACCTTCACATTCAACTATATTTCGTAATTTAGAGGAGAAATAAAGAGCAATAAGAGTGAAAAATAACTATGATACTCTGTTCCCTATTGTCCCTAATAAATAAAATCCAACAAATAAAAATAATTACGATAATAAATGGTGTCATTATTGTTAATATTTTGTAATCCGATCTAATGAGTTTTTTAAATTACATTTCTCTTGTTAGAATATGTTACGGATTCATATTTTGATGAACACATTTCGAGAAATGAAATTTATATGGAAATTTGTTTCACACTCTGAATGCTCTAACAAATACCGATTATGTGAACTCGGTGGACAAATAAGAGTTCACTGACTCTCTATTAGCAATTTTTCATATATAATAGGAGTTCAAATAAATAAACTCAATAAGCAAGTGTTCCTTTAATCGGCTGAATTGAAATAAATAAGTCAAATAATTAATTAAAGTAAATTCAGTTCGTATAAACGGAGTTCTACCCTATAATTATAATTACGTATAATTTACACATTCAGCCATAAGATTTTCATATTTCACACTGAACTCATCCCAATAATTTCACTGGATCTAAATAGCTTTTTTTTTTTTTTTTTTTTT